AAAAAAAAAAAAAAAAAAAACAACAGACTAACATGTATGCATACTTAATTTCAAATTGAAATGTCAAATTAATAAAAAAAAAAACGATATAAAAAAGAAGTGTAGCATTTCATAACATAATAACTAGCGCAAAATTGTTTTAAAAAAATGTGACATGACGATTCAATCAATTGTTAGACTTGTGTTTGGTAAATATATAGCTTATTTGATATAAACTTTGGTTTGGTAGGACGAAATTTTTTAAAATGTTCGAGCTTATCTCATAACTTTATTTGGACAATTTTTCAAATAAGCTCATTGAAAATTTTGTTTTAACTACTTATAAACTAATTTTACCAAATAATTTTATCATATAATTTAGTTTTTCAAATAATTAAGTAATAAGCTATCAGCTATAAACTCAAAATTCACTTAAAAGTTATAAACTAATTTATCAATTAGGTTGACCAACCATAGTCTTAGAGACTTAGACCACTTTAAGTAAGAATTTGTCTAAAAATACAAAACGTAAATGGAAATGACATGACAATTCATAGTAATAGTTAAGACCACATTACACAATAATTTGTGTAAAACGAAATTCCAAATCAAATAGAAAATCTTATGGAGATTACTCCCGTTATGAAACATTCTGTCAAGATTTGTAACCGTTAAATTAACTACCCACGACAGTTACACGATAATCTGGTTACAAAGCCGACGGAATAGTTATGTATCATTTCCCGAAAATCTTATACCCAATTTGCAAATTATAATAGGTTAGGGTTTACTAAATTGGGCCCAAAAAAGGAGGCCATGAATGAACCAATGGGCAGACATAAACAGATGGCGGAGCACGAGGATTTGGGTTTGCTTTGGACATCATAATTTGATTCTTAATAAATCTTTAACTAAACCGCCTTAGAACACTTAAAGGACAAAAGTTGGTTTAACAAATAATAACAATATGTTATGTTCTAGACCTATTTATAAGTTTATTGTTTATAGATCAGATATGATAATACAATATTCAACATGGGAAAGAAAAGAGAGGAAAAAAAAAATAAAAATAACGAAAGTATGTAAGTAGTGGAATGTGATCATTTTTTTTTTTTTTTCTGTTAAATTTTTATGTGTACTATTATTAAAACCTGAATGATGATAGATTGTTATTCCTTGTGACTGATTAAATATATTTTTTTTATGAACAAATTGGTAGCTTTAAAACAATAGGAAAAAAAATTAAGCAAATTCTTAATAATTTTCATTATGTCTATAAAAAAATTTAAAGATGAGTTTGATGTTTAAAAATCACATATTTTCAATTTTTTTTTTTTTTTTTTTTTAAATATGATGAATTTCACCAGATAGGTTTTCACCAAGTACAGATGGGTTAAAAAATCTTTAGGAATATAGATAAGATCGAATTTGTCTAAAATAATACATTAGGGCTTTATGAAGAACATTGGGATTTGGGCCCAATTGTATAGGGAAGTATTGGGCTGAGAAATTAGTTGTGAGAAAGGGATTCGGGCTTTCGGCTCGATTTGTGTGTTCCAACTTACGGAACCATTCTATCAGGTTAACCGTTAGATCATCATGTAATCGTTAAGGATAGTTGTCTAACTGTTGCAGACCTCGACGGAATAGTTCCGAACAGTAGCATCTCCCCATCATATCACTTGAAATTAACTATTAGTACTTACAATTTACCCGCAATTAGACTTATTATAAGCTTGATTAACCAAAGACTGCATAGCTAATTAAACGGCCTCTAATGGATTGGACAAGACAAGCATTAATACATCCTGGAGAGGAAGCCGGTTCAAGAGAAAGGATGTGAAAACCGGTTTAGTCACCACTAGTGGTCGAGATATACTTTAATAATAATAATAATAATAATAATAATAATAATAATAATAATAATAATAATAATAATAATAATAATAATAATAATAATTGTTGCAAAATTGACTAAGTCAAAGGGGGGAAAAAAAGGCAAAGGCTGGCTTTATCCATATCTAAAACAAACAGTATCATCGTTACAGTCAATTGTTTAATTTTTAAATATTTATCAATGCCAACGTGTCAATTTCCTGAATCGCCACGTGTCGCCACTTCTCCTCGGAACTCCTTCCATTTTCTCTCATTATTTACTTACTCAAACCCTTTACTAATACTTTTTATTAGCTTTATTATTACATGTCTCCCAAGTGATTTTTGTAAGTACCATTTATTAAATTTTTCTTTCTGTGTATAATTTTTTTTTTTTGTAGTTTTTGTAATTTTAATAACATCATATATTTCATATATTTCTTTTGTTTTGAAAGCATTATATTATATTATGTATTTCGGTTGTGAATTTTAATCAGATATTCTATGCATGTGTTCATACAATTTCAAGATTGATCCACACAAGAGTAAATAGTTCGTCTTATCGAAATTATTGATGTAAATATAGTACAAGAAAATGATGAAATTGTAACAAAATATATTGTAATGGAATTTTATCGACTATTCCAATAAATAATTCAAATTTTATTTTTACGGAATTTTCCAACATAGTCTCAAATAGTTTTTCATTGAAATTTTTGTTTGATTTTAATTATGCGAAAATAAACCGCCGGAAAAATAGTTGCTGGAATCATCAAATTCCAACTAAAATTACAATAAAAAAATCATTTCAACAAAATTGTTTTCGTTATAATTTTCGTTCGATTTTATACAGCGGAAGCTATATACCATTAAAATCTTGTTGGAATTTTTTTATTGGAATATTTTTCTATAGAAATTTCCTTTTTTAATTTTTAAGCAGAAGCTATACCATAATAATATTTGTTGAATTTTTATTGAAATATTTACTCTTAGAATTTTTATTGGAATTTAGTAATTCTTTTTTTTTTTTTTTTTTTTTTTTTTTTTTTTTTTTTTTTTTTTTTGTAGTGATATGAACTAAACATGCCAAAAAATTCTTTTGCATATTCAACTTCTACTCGTTTCTTTGTCTTGCAGAGGCTCATTAAATGCTCGTCCGATACCAAATTTATCATGCAAACACAAAAACAAAATGTGACATAAAATATAAATCAAGGATTGTGTGTAGTTTCATGGCTATTTTGTTCGAGTTGATGAGTTTGGCTCTTAAGCCTCTCGTGTTAGCTAAACTTTCATGTCAACTCGTTGCCCAAATTATGTGTATCATCATTCAAACATGGCTGGATGTGTTGAGGTTTGCCCTGAGTTTGCATTTAATTATACTCACTCGACTCGCAATTTGGGCTTTATCGGCATTAACTCTACCGGCACGGGCTTTCACGGCCCTCTACAGAGAGAGGCTGGTAATTAACCATTCGACTCTCAATGATTCTCGCATTTACTATACGTAAATTTTGTTTTTTTTTTCTCCTTTTACGTACTAACCGGTAAAAATCCAACGTGCAGCTGGAGATGCAAGTCTATAGACTGAAAAACGAGTTAGAAAGCTTTATCTTGGATAGGAAAGAAGCAGAGGAAAAACTTCGTTTAGCTATCGAAGAACTTAAATCGATGGAGATGTTACTAATGGAGCTCGAAGAAGAACACGACCAAGCCATCATGAAAATCGAAACGCTAGAAAGAGAGGTAAAATAAAAAAAAAAAATAAGTGGAAAGAAAAAGAATAGGGTTTCTCATTAAATTTGATGTGAGTGTTCAAATTGTTTTAAGTGTTGTTAAATCAGGTCCATGACTTGAAAGATCACACGGTGGCCGATAGTTTCATTAAATCACCTTCAAAATCCGACAACTACGAAAAAATCGCAATGACCGTAAAAAACGGGTCAAATGTTTATGGTGCTCAAAGTCAAAGGAAAGTTGCTCTGTATCGAAGCCTATTTAGTACGGTATTATCTCTTACGGTTGGTTTTGTAATGTGGGAAGGAGAGAATACTTGCATGCCTTTAGTTTTGGCGCTTTTTATGGTGGTTATAATTTCGTTGATGAGTGTTGCTCGGTTATTTGGGTCGGTCGAGAATAAACCGGGTTCGGATGCTATTGCTCTATTGAGCCTCAACTGGTTTGTGCTCGGGACAATATCATGTCCTATTTTGCCGAGGATCGCTCGTTTTTTGGCGCCCTTAACGTTGACTTTGGTAAAGAATGTGCTTAGATGGGTTGGTCTATGAGTGTGTGTCTTTGAAGTCTTCTTTGTTCTGTTTTTTCTTGTTCTTGTTTTTGGGTTATCTTCAGTTTGGTAAGTGTGCTACTCTCGGTGACTTCTTTCACAGGTTATAGAGTGATGTAAATAGTGTACTCATGGCTGGTTTTCCAGTGCTTGTTTCTTTTTTTTTTTTTCTTTTTTTGTGTGTAAAAACTAATGTATATACTTGTGCAAGATTTGAAGTTATTTTCCATTTTATGAAAATATTTATACTTGGTGCAAGATTTGATGTATTCTTTTCCATTTTATGCTTGCATTTTCTTTTTTCCTTGCGGTGAACACTGATTAATATTTACGCTAATATAAATCGATCTGTCATCTCGAGATTCGAGATGATTGGATTTACGGAAGTGGCATAGTTCGGGTCTGACGGTCTAAGCTTTGTCATTTTTCTCTGATGGGATTGACCTCTTGTAGCTCGACCATGTGTAAAGAATTTTAGATTGGTTGAAACAACCTATTAGGTTGGATCGAGATGAAAACAAATTAGTACAACCTAATAAAGTTGAGAAAAAAAGAGTTCGGCGAGTTAACCAAGAATTAGGGAGTAATCCGAGGCGAATCCCAATTTGAGGAATTGACGATATTCGAGGATTTATCTCCGGTTCGCATAAGATATCATCGGAAAAGGAATAAAGAAGGTTATTAATAGGTTTTGTTGAATGGCTGTCCTAAACACTTTTGGATTATCATCCTATTTTCTCAATTCAAATATGACTTGATTGTCGGAGATTTTATGCTAAGAATTCTCCCTGCGTTTTACAGGCGATCAAAAATCAACTTTTCCATCATAACGGGTGTGGCTGTCTTGTCTATTTTGTGTAAGTCACATCATACGCCAACTGATATGATGACAAAATAGTAAATAATTTTTAAAAATAAATAAATAAATAACATCACACTTATGCATAGATTCATCATATATTTAATTTTAAACAATACCATTAATCCACTATTGTTAAGTGGATTGAGCTTGTGAGTATCCAAACATTAATTGCATTATTAGTTGAGATCAATTGTAGCTTCAATTGAAATCCATCATTCTCCATCATTTGTGGAAAGCCACATGCCATTCAATGTTGTTGGACCACTTAATTGATAATATGAATAATGGCATAAGCCATATACCAAAAGCTAATTTAATTATTTTGCCTATTTTGTGGACCAATTTTGACTTTTTATACTTGGAAGAATGGGCAAGATGAAAGAAAAAAAAACACACAACTCATTGTGTGGGGTAGTTTTACTATTATCTTAAAATTGGGTGAGTCAATTACACGTTTGCAATTTTGAAATTTTGTGATTCGGTCCATCTACATGTTCGCTCGATTGCGTTGATTGACATATATGTCTCCATGTATATTAATTCAAAACGTGGTGAGCTTATATGACAGATTCTCACGCTTCGAATACTGACATGGCGAAAATCCATGCTTCGTGATGTTGTTTTTATATTATTTTTACTCTGAAGTTAGGTTTGATAATAAACATAAATAACTTTATACATATATTTATTAACTCAACACTCATATTGTAAATGGGTATTAATACTAGTAGTATTTTAATATTTACAATTATGTTGGATTTGACAATAAAAGTTTTATTAATATTTACGTCTATTATTTTAGGGTTTCCATCAAATTATCTGTTTTTTTAAGTGTTTGTTCAATATTCTCGACAGTTTATATGATTTTGGTACCTTTATGTTGTTATAAATGAATTAATTAAGTGTTGCGATTTATAGTAAAAGAAAAAAATAGGTAAAAAGCATGTATAATAAATTTTACTACATATTAAAGATTGTGATTTACAAGAAATGTTTATTTTAGATGGCAAAATTCGAAAAAACCTATAATGATTGTTTCAAATCCAAAAAATAAAAGTAAAATATTGTCCCGTGATGTTGAAGTAAAGAAATCAAATGGTCAAAATCGTGACATGATTTTCAGCAAAAGCTACGAAAGCTGCTTTTTTTTTTTTTCTCAATTATTGTGTCCATTAGTCAAGAATCCCCCTATATATTAATACAGAATGCGCTGAGCCTACGTGGCTGCTTCTGGTGCTTCGGAATCCTATGTGGCAAAATTACATGCTTCGTTATTAGGCTTGGGTAAATTTTAATTTAATTCCAAACAAAAAAATAATTAGGTTCGGATTACCATAAATATGTTGATTATTTATGGTCATGTTACATGTATTAATTGTATTTTAATATCATTCCTTATTATAACTATTGAATTGTATATATATTTTAAAAGTTAATAACTTTTGTATTTTTTATCAGTTTTACATATGTAATATATCAAATTAATCTTCTTTTGATGAGTTTCGATTTAACATCCATATTGTATGTATAAAAAAATAATTTATATTTATCTTTATAACAATAATAAAATTATTTTTAATATTAATTATAAAAATAAAATAATTTATCAACTAATATATTTATATTTCAAGTAGTTATATGATATAAGTTATAAAAATTAATATAATATAACACATGTAAGTCATAAGTAACACATATCATTCTAAAAGATATAGCAATATATTTTTTTTGTAAAAAAGTAAACTAAATTTAATATAGTTTTCTCATTAATTTTAAAATTTAAGAATAATTTTTTAACAAGTACCCGTGTAATACACGGGTGTTCTACTAGTATACCACTCATGCTGAGATTGCCACTTTGTTTTAATATATAATGCATTTAGTAAAGTGTAACTAATTTTGTTGAATATTTTTGGTTTGAGTTTGACTAGATAAAATTGTTTGGAACTTTTTTTTTTTTTTTTAAAAAAAATGTTAGATATATAGTAGTTGTATTATGTATTGTAGGATTAGGTTAGATTAAGTTCCAATATAAGCCCATAATTTATCTTTTTATATACATGTACATACCTTTGTAATTAATACAACATATATTTCTCCCACATTCTTATATGGTATATCAGACTAGGGTTAGGGTCTAATATAGGTTTCGTGTTTTCTCGTTCATCTCCGGTCACCGTTGATTCTCACCTCCCAGACCATCACCTCCGGTGTCTCACGACGATCATTTGCTGGAAATTTCACGCCGTAACTCTGCGCATGGGCCCCACACGCGTCGGAACAGTGCGACAGCGCTGGCAGCTTCTGACGGCGCGTGAGGACCACCCCAAGCTCCGATCACCGTCGTTTTTTCGGCCGTCGACTCCTCTCATCGTCGGCTACGTCCTAGTATGGTCGGTTTTGGTTTTCGTGACTTTTTTATTTCGGCCTATATTTATATTTTGACGGTTTCGTGATCTGATTTGTGCCTATATTTTTCATCTGTTTCGTGATATTGTGTTGATCTGAGTTTTGGATATGGATCGTATGGATGTGCATTCTTATATCAGTGTTGTCTTATCATGGATAATTATAGTCTTTGGGCATAGTATATGAAGAGTTTTTAAATTGGACGAAAATTGTGGCGGATTGTAACTGGTGATGTGTTGTCACCTGTGCATCCGTCTCTTTCAGGGGATCCCAACCTCATATCACAGGCTCTTACCACTTACGTCGATAAGTTGGAAGATTGGGATAGTAAGAACTATCAGATTCTTACTTGGTTACGTAATATTTCAGTCCCTGCTATTCAGGTGCAGCTTGTCCCGTTTGACAGTGCAAAGGAGGCTTGAAATTTTTTGGCTGCTCGATTTCAGACAACAGGCTTGGCTCACTATTTCAGCTTTGGAGCACCTTGCATTCCACCAAGCAACAACCGAGTCAATCGGTCAATGAGTTTCTAGCACAAGTTCAACCTATTCGGTATTGTCTCCGACAGGCTAAGATTAGTCCGGATCACCTTGATCTTATTCAGATTTTGATGGCTCTTCGTTTGGAGTATGAAGTTGTTCGTGCTTCTCTCTTACATCGTCATCCACTACCTACTCTTGATGTTGTTATTCAAGGGATCACTTTTGAGAAGACTCGTCTTCAGTTGGCCAGGACACCACAGCTTGAGTCTGCATTAGTTTTGCCTACTTCTAGTTTCGCTACATCACATCAGCCTCAACCACCAGTCTTTGTTTATTGTGGGTGTTGCAAGAGCTCTAGTCACCCTTTTGCCACTTGTCCTAAAGTGGAGTGCCACATCTGCCAACGTGCTCGGGGTCATATTGCTCCGAATTGCCCAGCCAAGCCACAATGTTCGGGAGGTTCATCTTCTCGATATCGAGGGTCTCGTGGGTCTTCTTCATCGACCCCTTTATCTATCACAGCGGCTGTCACTAATGAGCCTCAGCACTCATCTTACATTCTTCAAGACATTGAAGCTATTCTCAAACATGTTATCCATTCCAATTCTGCTATTACTGCAGGTAACCCTCATTGAAGTAAATTCAATCTCACATCGAAAAATTAATGGTTTCAAGTCTAATATATAAGCTTGGTGGGATACTCCTTATATTGCTAATTGGTTTTAGAATGGAACCTCTTTAGGGCTTGTATGTTGGGCTTGATGGAGAGCTGAGTTTTGAATTGTTGGTCCCAACAATTGATATCAAAGCCACGGTTGGTAGTCTAGTTGCGATGTGGATGACGTGGCGTATTCCCCGTGGAGCCAGAAGGGCCGGTGGATCCGTGTGTCTTGTATCGAAAGTCTTCCTGGCGAAAGGATGTGGTCAGGCGGCGGGTTCCGTGGGTGATAACGGCGGTACAAGATGGTCGGATCGTATGAATTTCGTTCAAGGGGAGGCCCAATGTGGTCTTGTGTTCGAGGGGAGGTTTGTCCACAAACACATCTCCAGACACAACTATTCCTGGAACATCCAAACTTACTTCTCCATGTCCTATATGTGATTTCATTTCCACTGATTGCTTATCTACAGAACATGCATGTTTTACTGCCTCTATATCTGAGCATACTACGTGGCTGCTTCTGGTGCTTCGGAATCCTATTTGGTGAAGAATCATGCTTCGTAATTAGGTTTGGACAAATAATATTA